CTATTAAAAAATCTGAGTCATAACCCTTCAGTACTACATTTACTGTTAGGCCTCTACAAAATCCTAGAGTACATAGTTAGGGTCTAGGAGTTCTAAGGTGACTTCCAGATTTGTAGAAAAGGCTTCTTGTTACAAATCCTACTTGTTACTTGTTATTACTCTAATGACCTGACAGATATGCTGTTACTTTTACAAGCAGTCCTTAATCTAGTGTCCTAACTTTCTGTAGACAAAGTATGCTCCTTACTTTTAAGCTTCTCTAATGTTCATTAGAACAGATTGATCACAAATTATAGGTGGATCAATCTAAGGGCTCAGAACTGTCAGAGCTAAACACATGTGTAAGTGTTCTGTACAGACTTAACACATCTGAGCTATAGCTTGGTTGAAGGAAATAGTATGTGTCTTCCACTCAGTGTAAGTGACCAGTTTTAGTATCATTCTAAGAATCTTATTAACTAGTTCTGAGTAAAGAGCTTTTTCTAGTATTCTAATAAGGACATCATCAAACCTGAGCACAAATCCTACCTTCTGGGCCAGGATATTAAACTCCTGAAAGAAGGTATTAGTAGAATGTTTGCCCTGTCATAGAGACACAAGCTTGTTCTGTGTATTATACTTCTTATTCAGATTAATGAAGGAAGTACAGAGCTACCTTATAAATCCCAAATATGACTCATTGTTCTGAAGTCAGATTAAGCTTCCAATCTGATAGCCTTCAATCCAGTTCTAGGCCCAGGTGGCTGTATTACCTTCCTTCATAAAGGAGAGGACAAATAGGACACAATTAAGATTTGAGGATAGATTAGTCAAAGTAGTAGCTACATATAGTTCAACTTAGTACTAGAAGTCCTCAAAGTACTACCTATTAAAGTCTGAAGGGTAAGCTACATACACCTTCTTTCTAGAACAGGTTACAACTTCTGGAACAATTGGAACAGGTTCTGAAGGGGCTAGGGGCACATAGTTAGTAAAGGCCTCTTAGATAGAGGTCTGTATGTATTAAGCTAGATTTGCTTATAACTACTAATCTAGCAAAACAGTAGGGGTGACAGTCAGTGTAGGAGGGTCTATGTTTACACTACAAAGGAATCAGTACTAAACTAAAAGGGTTAATGAATAGAAGAAGGGTGGCAAAAGTTTAAAAGGGTTTAGAAAGTTTAAAATTTAAAAATGTAAAAGAGTCAGGACAAAGAAAAGAGATTGACACAATAGTAAGTACCAATGCTTGAAATGTAGGAGAGTTATAGGGTAGTAATGAGTAGTCTTAATCTGATGTCAGTAATAGTATAGAGGGGACCCAAAGGCTCAGTAAGGAGACCCAGGCTACAACTATTCTACACAATAGAAATACAGAACACAAGTACTAGAACATAGTCAGAACCTACAGAACAGACAGAGAGAGAGAGTGAGACAAGAGTAGAGTATATAGAGTGAGCCTAAGAGTACAGGACTACCTAGAGTAGACAAGATCAAGACTACAGGACCAGTCTGATCTTGTACACCTATATATACTAAACTACACAAGAGTACTCAGGGAGTATGAGCTACTAAGAATGATAAGCTATAAAGAATGAAAGAAAGGAAGGTCAAAGATAAAGGTACAAAGAATGAAGGGATGGACAAAGGGTAAGAGACTATAGAATGAACAAAGAATAAAGGGGTGGTCAAAGGAATGGAATGATAAAGTAAGGAAGGGTAGTAGTAAGAGTCAGCACACATATAGTCTATAGACAGTGCCCCTGAGGGACAGAAGTCCTAAGTTCTAGTACAGAAGGGTGTAGAACTCTTAGAACTGAAGGTACAAGAGTAGAGAACTGTAACATATAGTACTTATTATATAAGCTAGTCTTTGCTCAGCCCCTCCCCCTACTCTAATTCCTACTATTAAGTGTAAGAATGTATTGGACATTCTTTGACAATATGCTAGTAGTATTATTGTAACAGTTCTACAGGTTAAAACATATTTTTAAGAGTGTCTAAGTACAGATTTTTTGTTAGACAACTAGAGGAAAGTTATTACAAATGTACTACACACTAAAACTAACACTATAGCTACTATTGAAATTGTTGAGAAGTTTACAAACAGTACAGTACAGTACAGTACACAAACAACTCTTCCTCCTCAACTTAATTTACTCTGTCTTCTCATTCTGTTCAGAGTAACAATCTTCCTTAGTTACAAGTTATCAAGTAGGACCTACTAGATTCTGTCTGTGTTCTGAAAGAAAGACATTACATTAGGCAGGCCCCAACCCTCAAATTGTTGAAGAAGTTTGTAATCAATTAGATACTAGGTTAGACAATAATAGTGAATCTGAAAGGGAGGACAAACTTGCTGACAAGATCACAATATCAGATGGTTAATGGCTCTATACAATGTTGGAGAAACTTGCTCTCAATCATGTAAGTACTGATACAGTATTCATCCTTACTAAGATGCTTTGAAAGTTTTGTGCCAAACTCTTTAAAAAGTATGTATCTTTAGTTAAACAGTCTTTACTTAGTAACTACTAGGGATGCTAGATGACTGTAGAGGAGGTTTGAATAATTGCATTGTTGTCTACTTTTAAACTCCCTTGTTGTCTCCTCAACTAACTATTTCATGTCTTATCTTACTTATTTTTCACATTTTCTTAATCTTTAGTTAACATTTTCTTAGTATCTTACATAGTCATATATGTTACTACATTACATAACTTTAATTTCTTGCTTTTGTGAGGCTAGAGCCTACTTTCTATAGTATTATATGTACTGTCAATCAAAGAAATATATTTGATCCCGTGTTTCCAAAAATGGTAGTATATTCTCACATATACAGTTATGAATATTAGTCTTAATAAATAGACATCAGACCCTTCCCAACAATATTCATTATGACATATCTGACTGTACTACACATGAAAAAGTGTATTTCTACTTAAGTACAAGTTGATTTTTTATTAAGTACATAATGTAAAAAATACATATTTCTTAGTTAAATTAGCAAATTCACTTTAACATTTTTAATTCAATCAAATTATAGCTATTTACAAAGAAACTTGACAATATTGTACATATAATATATTATAGTATTCATGATTTTTCTTAAGAAGAAATGTACTGATTTGTATAAGTTATAGATAAGTCTTTGAATCTTAATATATAAGTTAAAAAACTGTTAATATAATACATGTATGTAGATTACTTTATATCTCAGTCAGTTTTGTATATTTTTCTATCTAATTTATACTAATAGAAAGCTATAATGAATAGCTTTCTAAAAGTATTTTTTATATTTTCTAATAATGTGTATTTGTAGAGTTACAGGCAAATTAGCTAAAATTAGCTAATTATGTTAACAGTTTTTAGTGTTACTAAATATACCTTGTATTTCAGTATAAAAATAAATTATAACAGTTGTGTGTGTGCTAAATCATTTGAATGGTAAGCACATTTTAGAGAATGTTGAGTAATAACACTCAGACTTAAAGTCTATCTCTTTATATACAGTATATTATTTACTTACATTTTCTGACTAAACTGCTTCAAATACAAGTATTGTGTCTCTGACCCCTAAAATTATAACTGTGACAAATAAAAAGGTTTCTCTTCATAAATAGACTAGAAACATGGCTCAATGATATAGTTTGTGTTACATTCTAACAGACAAGTTAATGTCTGTCCTAAGTCTGTATTACTATTCAATCTAACCTTTAATCAAATAGCTATTAACACTAGTGGTTATTTCTCATGTTTCTAAATCACATATTTATTTTTCCACATTGCTACTTCAGCCTACTGTACAGTTTGCTTGTGCACCTAATTTGGTGCATTGTCCTAATGTGGAAGAAGTTTTAAATTTGCTTTGACAAGCCATCATTCAGATTTGATGAACTATTTAATATTGCTTAACTGCTGTAAGCAAACTGCACAGTTATATATAAAAGCCAGATACTTTATACCAGAGTATTGACATTGCAATTCTACACACAACCTGCTACCCTCCAACTGTATCTGAGTAGTAATAGTACAGAAAGTGTTACACTCTCATACATCTGATAATAAGAGAGGTATACAAACTAAGAGATGCCTCATCATCATCACAATGATAAACGTGATAGCCATGGAAAAGAGAAAGAAGTTACTTATACAGTGTTACATCATCCTGTCCAACGTAGAAGTACGCTTCCTTCCTCTATACAGAGTTTTTCCACTCCTACCAGATCTGTAACTCTACCACTACCACCACTACCACCACCACACTATGAGACAGACCTCATGAAAATAGGAAGCACAGTACAAGGTTATACATCATTAGAAAAGATTGGCAAAGGGAAGTACGGTACAGTACTTGTAAGTATATCAATTTTGTAGCTCACTACCAACTGGCTCAATACAATTTTATACCTTGCAAACTTCGGATTGATAGAAATGCTGGAAGCAAGATACTGCCAAAGTAGTAGCGGTTAAAGTACTCAAAGGAGATGGAACAGACGAAACGAGAAGGCAACAGTTAAATGAATGGAATACAATGCGAAGAATTGGGATACATAAAAATATTGTAAGCAAACTATTCAGACATATTTATTAAATACTTATATATTGAAATTATGTACAAAATTTAAGATAGGATCAAACACTCTAAAATTCTTTGAGTATACATATAATAGCTACGTTTATAGATGCATTGCAATGGAATATGCTGAAGGAGGTACTCTTGAGGCTTACATGCGGAGTCACAAAGCAATCCCTTTAATCAATATTAAGTCTATCATATGGCAAGTAACGTCCATAAAATATTATCCGTATATTTCTAACTTTCCTCTTCAAAGGCAAATATCGGAAGGATTGAAGTTCCTGCATGGCCAAAATTGCATTCACTGCGACTTCAAGTATGTATATTCCTTTACAGTGTTGTACTGGTGTTCACCAATCTATATAGACCGGGGAATGTTTTGCTAATGAGGGTCGATATACTTGAACTAAGGATTGCAGATTTTGGGACGTAGGTTATTATATCATTATAGTGTTCGTTCCAAACGTTGAACTAACTGCCTATACAGATCGACATGGATACCTAAAGGACATTCAGAGTTCGTTTATGCCGCTGGTGGAGCGATTGGATACTTCCCTCCTGAGCGTGCAAAGGATCCGGAAAATCAGATTATTTGCTCCGGAACAGACATGTTTCCACTCGGGTAAGTTAAACAAAGCCACGGTACTTTGGAATAATTCAGTAACCGCTTCTTTTAGTATCATACTCTGGGAACTATTTCATGGCTGGCATATGTTTCCTTGTACGACAACGAAGTAAGTTGGTTTACTTAAAGCTTAGAGCTCTGTTTGATGTTGAATCCCTGGCACAAGGAAAAAAACCGAGTTCTATAAGCTTACCGGGGAGAAGTATTGGGATACATACCAGTGGAAACAAGACCCAGAAGGCAAGTCATCTACCTTCTTACTTCACAAAACGCTCGACCAATAAATGTCATTTAGCGCAAGTGGTAGCCAGAAGATTACTGGCTCTCGACTATAAAAAGCGGTGGACAGCATCCGACTTGCTTGCAACAACTGTCAGTTGTATATGATACTCTTCTAATTCTGTGTAATATGCTGACTGTACTACCTTCCAATGTATAGTGGCTTTACAGCAGTTGAAGGCATAAAGCTAGTGAACTACATTTTATGCCTGATCACCTTTTGCCTCATGTTGCCACTAGACTCAATGTTAATGAGCCCCTGAGAGTCTAATGTAGTAGAATCTAATTGTAATTCACCAATGTATGAGCGTTAGTAAAATATTCACACGTACATGATAAGAGTGAACATAGGCTATTAGGCCAGGGACACCCAACGCAAACCCAACTCGACATCGATCCGTTACGAGCATTGCTCATCTCATGATAGTTGCTCAATAGTAATTGTTTCACTTAATGTTAATCTATTATAGCAACACTGACCTTACATAGGAAATACATGTTTCGATTTTCAAAAAAATTTCTTGCCTCGGACCGACGAAGGCCTGGTTATCCAACTGACTCGGTCGTATATTATATTAAAGATTAATTCGTTTAGTCTGAGACGACTTGCTGTCGGCGGCCTGAACCATAATAAGTTTGTTATACAACAACTTACCCGTCTCGAGCAAGTAGATTCGCTAAGCCTGTTTCAGAGGAGGCTTGTAACAGGTTGTAACAGGAGAAAAAACATTAGCCAACAGGACAGATATGCCGAAATTGCAATTAATTTGTTTGTTTAAGTAATTATGCGTACAACGATGCATTCGACGCTCTGAACGTCGACCATTCATCCGCACTTGGAACATATTTGCCACGAAGGTCACAAGGAGAAACTTGAGTAAACACCGTCATTCCTAACCTAAGAAAGTTCTACAGGTGTCGTTAGCCTGAAGACCGGTTAGAAGTTATTGTAATTATATTCTGAATCAAAGGCTGGACTATAATACATCAGGTAGGTTCAAGTAACATAGCAAAGTAGTATGACAAATGGTCAATTCTTGTGTGCGAGTATTGCGAAAGTAAATTGGAATGAATTATATGGAATTCACCACGAAACGAAGCGTCCATTTCATGCTGTTCTACTCTTAAAGCTCGCTCTTCTTCTTTTCAGCCGCGGATTTCGCTTCCTTAGCCTTCTTTTCTGCTTCTGCACCTTTCTCCTTTACCGTCGTCTTTGTCTTGCTTTCTGCGCCGCTCAGGACGTCGAGGACTTGACCCAAGGTCTCTTCGACGGAAGTGACTCCCGAAGCGACGAGAGAACGGAGGCGGGAATAGATTTGCTCGAGGAGAGAGGTAGTCTGAACATAGCGAATACGTGTCTCCTCTGAATACAAAGTGAGGAATAAGAATGGGGGATCCGAAAACAAGCAAACGAGAATGAACTTACGAAGGAGGCCAGGACGGGATGTCGGAAGCGCATCCTCAGACAGACCGTGATTACGCAAAAATGCACGGAGACGAGCATCAGGCCACGTGAGGTAAGCTGCAGTGCGAGCATTGGCTTCGTTGTACTTTGCGTTCATGAGTTTCACGAGGTCGTCGCGCTTAACTTGCGCATCGCTGCGGATATAGCCATGATCAATGAGCCATGACCGTAGGTCACTGTCCGACCAGCTGGACCAAATTGTGTCAGACGCAGAGGCATAGTTGGCACTGATGAATGACGCGTTAGAACAATTATGATGTCATAGTATGAACGATTTGCAATTGCAAACATACGCAACGAGTTTCTGCAGTTTTTCCTTCCTGACTTGTGCGTTGGATTTGATAACATTGTGCTCAATCAGCCATTGACGCAGCTCGCTCTCCGACCAGGTGTCCCAGACGTGTTGTTGCGGAACGTAATAGTAGTTTCGCATCTTCGCCGTCAACGCATCGCGCTTTTTCTCGAAGTCGGATTTAATAATTCCGTGAGAAACTAGCCATTCATGCTAAGGGGGGAAAAGCAAAGAGCATGTAAACAAATGAACATGTCATCGAAAAGTCAGAAAAGCGCTCACGATATACGAGTCAGACCATGCATCCCAGATGGAATCGGAAGTTTTCGCGTATGCATCACGCATATAAGCTAGCAGTTCAACTCTTGTAGCCTGTTGCTTTGATTTGATTACACCTTTCTTGACGAGATAGTCGCGAAGCTGATTGTCGTTCCAGGTCGAATACACGTAATCCTTCGAGTCATCGAGTGAACGAGCTAGAGAGCTTGTTGCCTGTGCCGCAACGCTACTCGCCGTTTTCGGGGCGTCTGTCGAGAATGACGATACTGACTTGGAAGCCTGATACGCGGCATCACCGTAGACAGCGGTACTTGCAGCACGTGACGCGGTTGACGCAAAGCTGGAGGCAGCATTTGTGTAACCGCGGTAGTGCTGCTTTGCAGCTAGCACCAGCTGTTCGCGTGGACCAGAAGGCGCTACAACGCCCTGTTCAAGCAAGAACTCGCGCAGACGGCTCTCATCCCAAGTGTCGAACACAGATTCCTTTGTACTACCGAGGACTTTCTGAGCTTTCTTGTATTGCTCGTATGTCCAAGCGCCGGCAGAGTTCCAGTTGGATGCAACAAGGTCCTGAAGCTCCTTCTGGTTATATCCCTTTGGAGGCTCAATGTCGTGCTCCTTCAACCATGTCTTAAGTTGCTTCGCGTCCCAAGACGAATACTCCGGCTTGTCAGACGACCACCAGGAGGCGGCAGCGGGAGTACTGGTGACGGTGAGTGCGACGAGAAAAAGGTGAGTTAAGCGCATGTTAGTTGAGGGACGTCGTAGTTGGAGAGAGAGGAGAAATGACGCGCATCTGGTTCTTTTGTAAGAATAGGCGGCGCTGTCTGACTCTATGACGGACGAGATGCCAATGACCTCATACGCCGCGTATGGGATCCACCTGCCATATTTGGGATAACGCTTGGCACGTAAAAAGACCACAACAATTCATCTTTTTTGCTCGATCCTTTCTAAGTTTCTTTCAAAATCTGTCAATACATTCGAATAGTCGTGTCTTTTCTGCACCCGGACCCTGAGTTCCATGGCCCTAATTTGGTTAGCTTGAATTGGCCACTCACAATTTGACTTGAATTTCACTAAGTCAAAATAAAGTCCTTTTAATGAAAATACATGTCTCCCTCCCTAATCCTAACCAAATCCCAACCTAATACCTAAACCTAACAACCCAGCTTAGCCAAAACCTAATTGGGGGGGCAGAGCCCCCCCAAACCCCCCTCCTAACTTCTTAGTCTGAGAACTGCCACACAGATATTAAGTAAGTGGCCATTCAGGGTCATCCCTAAATGGGCTGTGGGATTCAGGGTCCGGGTGCAGAAAATCAAAGGTTCATTCAAATTCCTTCTCTTAAGCTGCCACTTTCACTCTAATACGGATAAATTGTTTTAATTGTGTAATCTCAGCTTTGAGGATGATATGGCTGCAAAGATTTACGCGAAGATTTCTCTCGCCACTGGTCCTGTGTTAACTTTGGCCGTTGTGGCCTATCTTGCCCAAAATCGATAATTGCTATGCTGCTCAAACCACCGACCATGTTACCCAGTGACCTTGCTTCCTGACCTGCTTAGTCTTGTGGCCTTGCGCTTCATTTTTTGCCAATGCGTGCGTCTATAAAAGAACATCAGTTCTATTCAGGTGCAACTACTTCATCCACAACTAAACCCTCCAATATTCAACTAACGGAGATACTCGCGCTGAAATTTCCATGTCATACGCATATCCTTGGCAATCTCAATCGCAATCTCCACAGCTACTGGGTCCCTCGCTCTCAAGAGGGCGGGGAGGCTGCGAGTCGAGATTCAATCGCGGCCAATCCAACGCACAGGAAGACGACGAATCTGTACTCGAGCATAATACGACAGCCCTTCCCCCGAGTATGGAGCTTCCCTCGGACGTTAGTCGCGGCTTCAACCACGTTCTGCGTCAGCAGCGTTCAGAATACCTCGGGGATCGAACGCCTAGAGCATCGCATCAACAGCAGCGCTATGGTACATTACCAGCAAAGAACCTACGCAATGCTCAGAGCCATTTGCATTTGCAAGGCTCCGGGCAGTATAGTGGAGCCTCGTCATCGTCTATGGTAATACCGAAGGCAGCATATCTAAACGCTAATCCGCAAACGCAGACCTCGTCTCTATTCAACACCTCCATCGGCAAGTTCAGCGTAGATCCAAATCAAAACAGCATCAATATATCGCTATCCATACATCCCTTCCAAGACCCCGGGCTTCCGATCCTTGAAAATGGTTGTCACTGCAATAACATAATCTGTACCCTCTTTGGTTCAGATTCCCGTTTCATGAACGAAGCCGCAACCACCGAAGGGTTCACACATATCGCAGTGGTACTCGGAATGTGGCGTATTCATGTCGAAGGTCGCGTAAGCCACAGCACCGGAGAGAGAAAACCAGTCCGCGTGAAGGATCTCGTTAATGTAATTCATGCGGAATTACACAAGCTCATGGGTCGCGATTACCAGGACAACATCCTCGCGGGCATGTCCGATGCAGATGCATACAAGACTAAGTATCAAGTGGACGAACACGCTTTTGTGCGGACGGGAATTCGAATGCACGACACGAATAGAATGATGTATCTCCAGAAGGTCGACTACGTTGAGAAAAATAACACGATTAGAGTGGGCCCAGCGCTGTATGTCAAACGGCTGTATTCTCAGCAGCACGTCTGCATAGTTGGCCTTGCATAGAATGAGAAGGGCAAAAGTACATTATTCTTATGAATATATGTTTATTATCATGCATATGTTTGAAACCATTATATGTATAGCTCCCTTAGTTTTACTATGGTTATGAAATACCTTGCCCAATTACTTGTCGCAAGATTTCTCTTATTACGACTAAAATTGGAAGTCCGGCTGAATTGAAAGCGAAGTGGACAAAGCTGTCCAAACAAAGGCTGTTGTCGAAATGTACTACTTCAATGTTCTTTCTCTTTTTGAACTCAACGCTTGTCTGCCATCATTCATCTGTGTGCCACATGAAATTTGTTAACCCCGAATGGCTGATTGTTCGCCTATCTTGACTGACGCGTACAGTTCGGGCAAGAATTCTAGGTTTCTGTACATGCACAAGAGCTTAGTCCTGTGGCCGAACAAATCATTGGACTTACAATACCCACATTGAATCCGCGTACCTCTTATGCATTAATGCATTCTGATGAAAGCCAGGGAAGTTACGCTTTATATCTCGGCCATACGGTACTGTAGAACATCACCCTGACCAAAGTAAAATCCCTGCGTATAAAAGGAGGCTCATTCTTCTTCGGAGACGGACCATCGAAAACCCACAGGCTGAATCCTCTCATCCTTATTCCGTTAGCAAGTGTCCTCATTTCTGTCCTCAGGATGCCATTGGAGCCACCATACGACTCGACCCACAGGTTCCAAAACTCTTCACCCACGCAATACCCAGCGAATGTCGGAGAACTGGTTCCCAATGTATATCAACAGCAGCAGTCTAATGCTCTACCACCGCTACGCACTGTCTGCAGTAGACGAGCACTGCATTCGCAGCGTCCACCCAGTGATTCACCGACTTTTCAGCCTTTGCTGGTACCAAGGAATGTGTCTCATAACCGCAACTCTGCGCCGACGACATCGTCCGACCCTGGGCTGTCATTTCCCGACCACCATATCGAACTTGACCAAGGAGAAAGCCTCCATGACGTTCTGTCCAAGCCGATGTTCCACGGTCCCCACACTCAACATCTGGAAAATCCGTGTCATTGCAATAACATCATCTGCACGCTATTTGGATCAAATCACCCAGTAATGAACGAGCCTGCGACCCGAGCACGCTATTCGCGTATCCACGTAGTGCTCGGCCCTTTCTCCTTCTACGTTGATGGTCGTAAAAGCTCTCGCACTGGAGGCTTGAAACCTGTCTCTGTACGCGAACTTCTTAACGCAATTCATGAACGCCTGCACATGCAGCTTAGCGGACTTTTCCCAGTACACTTCCCTTTAGAGCAGAGGCCCACTATTGTCACTCAAATGATTCAACATGCGACACATAGAACTGGATGTAAGCTGGATTACGTTCGTGCGCCGCCACGATTGCTTGTCGATTTTATCCAGAGAAACAATTTTGATATTACTAGTCCCGCTATGTATCTTAAGCGTCTCCAGTCTGATCCGGCCACGTTCAAAGTCGGTTTGGTTTAGATCAATATATACGCTATTTTGGAGATTCTCATGATCGTAGCCTGAATCCGAACGGCTGCATACAGCTGATAATGCATTCTCGCAAAGTATTGGATTGAAGAATAACCTTGCGGCAAGTCTATTATAAGATAGAAACGTTTACCTCGAAATGTAGTAGGCGAGTAACGAAAGAAAATTAAATGAACACTTTCGAGGTACGGAAGAAGCGGGCCGACTCAGCCGAGAACAAAATACTGTGCGAATTTATTATATAAATATATAAACAAAATAATTAAACAAACAAACAAACAAAAACCCGCTTTCTTCTCTGTTCTGCACCTCGATCTCAGTTCGATCCCGGTACTGCCCTGAACTTGTGGCTCTATTATGAACTGCTGGTAGCTCCTCGTCTCAGTCCACAACACATCTTGTGAGGACGAAACGAACGGAGATATGCTTGTCGCCACTTGCGGCCAAACGACCCAGTGGCTTCGTCAGATTTCGTACACCCACATGGACGAAAGGGCTTATGTACCTTCTTGTCTCCGTGCATAAGAGCAAGTTTTCCTTTCGGCTTCAATATGAAACGAGATCAATAACGGTCATTTTGAAGCGACTTATCGATCGGCCACTGGACTCGGTGTTCGTATGATTATCATGGGCCACCTCTGCACAACTTTCGAAAGCCACTTCCCTACAGCATAAAATATAAAAGAGAATAATATCCGTCCTGGACGGTCATCGTCCACAAAACAACTCTCCCGTCTTCATCGATCATCATTAAAGCCGCACAACGCAATCGCGCCCGCGACGTACTCACTCACTGTCGTTCATCCGGCTTATTACGACTAGTTTTCAGGAGCTCAAAGAGCGCAATGTATTCTCACAGCAATAACCACCAAAATAGCTCGTCTGAATCTCAGGCTTCAGCAGCACAATTTCGCGATTGGTTGAATAGCGTTGCACGGTACCATGTGGATCCCAACCAACGCGACTACTGTCTCCACCGGGTCTTATCTACGCCGACGCTCTATGGTCCACGCACTCGCTACCTCGAAAACCCATGCCGTTGTAACAACATTGTCTGCACTCTGTCTCGTTGGATGGACGATCGCGGTATGAACCAGTCAGCGACCCGAGTGCGCTTCACGCGTATCGATGTGATTCTGGGTTTCTGGAGTGTTCGGGTCGAAGGCAGAACCGACCCTCGCACCGGGGAACGTAGGCCCGTTACAATACACGACCTAATCACTGCAGTTCACGTAGAGCTGCATAAACCAATGAGCGTCTTTGAGCTAGAGGCGTGTCTACTGCCTATAGAGGCGTGCGAGCATCGTCGAATCTTGCGTCAGACGCGCCAGCATTGGAGGCAGAGGACAGGACTCCGGTCTGATGACGATGATCAGTTATACGAGAGAGTTGACTTTCTCCAGAGACACAATGCAGACATTGCTAGTCAAGCGATGTATCTCAAGCAGCTTCATTCGGATCCGACAGTGTGCACGGTCGGACTGATTTAAAGGGATAAACAAACCCGGAGTCTGAATAGCTGACCATAGTCATTGGTACGTATCCTTGATGACCTGTGCGCAAAATATTGGACTGAAGGTTGCGGTGATAGTGAATCTGTCACGAAGAATATTTCTGTGAAGATGGGTGAGTGGATCATATTTGCCTCACTTTATTTGCACTTCCGTTGAATACATGCAACTCTGAATGGATAAAATTCGTATAAGATACAATAAAAACACATGAGAATCTCAATGTAAGAGGGAACGAGATCGTGAAGTAAAGGATAGTATGACGTGTGACTATGGTTCCATTACTTATGTAAAAACTGGTTAGTTTAGGCTACGCGAAAAAAGGACCACAATAACACTTCCCTTTTCACTGCCCTAGCCCACTCTTGTCCTGTGCTGATGCTACGGTCGCGAAACCCCGACGCGTCTACATCACGACCTGGAGGCTTGAATCGAGAGGTTGGCTAATTTCTAATCATACCTCCAGTTCCATAATCCTGATCAACAATCCTACAATGGATGAGAAGGCTAGGACTGTAATACTGTATAACTGTCTATGATGGCGCACAATGACAAGTCGCTTATGATTCAGATACGTATCTCTTGGCCCCTCCAAATATTGCCGCCTTCCAAACTAGATGGCCTGGCGTCTACCCGAAATGATGCGCTTTGACTACGCTTGACTCTTGGGGGCCACACTCAGCCACGTACTGGAAATCCACACTGAAGCATGCGTATATAAGAGGGATTAATTTCGGTCTTTGATAATCTATCGCCCTCGACGTGACTCCCGTTTTACCGCCTATTAACTGAAGCGACACAACGAAACCCTACTACGATATATTCGACGTATTCATTCTCCACGACTGCTTCCCTGTGTGTAATCCAACTTTTGCCGAGCATCCTACTGCAAACCCGCCATTGTTCCAATGCGCTCCGATCGCACGTATCTAGAACATGAGGACCAAATCACGGCCTTCTGCGACTGGATGGAACGTGCGAACTCTCATCACAGTTTGGCTTCATATGATCCAGGCATTCTCCATGAAATCTTCTCGACAACGCTCTATAATCCACGCGTTCCCAATTTACGGAATGAATGCAACTGCAATAACATGCTCTGCGTGTTAACACATAAGATGGACATGCACGCATTCTGGGACATGCCAGCAACCACGATTAGATCCTCGTCTATGACAGTGCTGTTGGGTCCTTGGCGCATTGACATTGAAGGCGAAAAGGACCACGTCACCGGGGAACAAGAACCTGTTTATTTATCTCACCTCATCAGACGTATCCATTGCGAATTGCACAAACCTATGGAGATCTTCGATCTTGACATTAAAAGAATTCCGGCGCATTCCATCGGTCTATTTTACGAATATCGCAGAATGCTGCGTCAAACCGATGCTTATTGGAGGCAGAGGGTGGGGCCGCACTCCAGCGCCAGTTATAGGGGGTATGAGAGGATCGACTTTCTCGAGCGTTACACCATTGGAAATACAGACCGAGTTATGACCCTAAAACTCGCCTTCCCGATCCCTGGTCGCCTCTGCGTCGCGCTAGTTTAAGGAATATATCATGTATATGTACGACTATTCTTGCAACTTCATTGTTATTGTGTGCAATATTAAAGAGGAAATTCGTTGATCGTTTCGGGTGCTGATAACAACACAGGTTCTCTTGAAGAAATCAAAGACATTGCATCGAAACTGACAAAATCCAGGAGGTCAACTTTGGAAAGACTCAACTCGAATTTAACGTTTACTTGGAATTTGTTGCAATGATTGGTGTATCCTGTTTCATGGCTGCTTCCGCGCTGAATAAATAACTTGACTTACATCCACATAGGGCTCGGTACCGTACCATATACGGATACGGGCCGTATAATACGACCCTTATACGGATACGGGCTGTATAATACGACCCTTATACGGATACGGCTCGTATAATACGGTGCCGTATTTCTGAACCCGAAAACCTATACGGAT